AGATGCATATAATGGACTCCGGACTAGATGCGTTACTCTAAGTCTTCCTACCAATATGACCGAGTTACGAAAACAAGGTCAAACAACTTCTCTACTCTTACGTTTTGACACTGTGTGATAGTGCATTCTGCGTCAGATAGGCCTATATTTATATAACTAATTCAAAGGAGCTGGATTTTGTCGTTAAACTTGACATTTTATGCTCAACGTGCTGATGTTCTAATCCAAAGTGAAGTGCATTTTTGATCTTATATGGATCTCAGCAGTCTTGTGGATCAAAGTCAACATTAGTTCAATAATCGGTTCGTATAGAAAGGTCCTGGGTAATAACTTTGATAAATCTCATTTAATTCAGCTAGAATTGCGAAGTTTCAAAGAAATGCCTCACTCGACCTTAGTATCGAAAAGACAACTGATAGTTACTTTACCGACAATATACAGATTGAAACACCTTACACAACAAGTAAGTGTAATTTATGCGACACAAAACACGTTTCAACTTCATATCACAATCTGCTACAATAAAAATAGGCTTTAAGGAAACCCCAACGCAAAACCAATAAAATAGACATTAATAACTAGAAAAGTATTTCTTTGTAGAAGTGAGGAAGAAAGATAGGTAATGAAAGGAATAAGCCCTGATTTCAGGCGGTATGAGCCAGTCGCATGTCCAAAGGCTCGTGTGGCCCAGTCGTGAATAGTAGACCAAAAGAAGGCAGCTATAAAACAAGTTTCAAAAGGAACTAATGGGGAATATAGCATGCTTCAAGGTAGAGAGATAATGAAAAGGTGAAATGAGACAAATAAAAAACTTTGAGGAATGTCGCAGTTATGAGAGAAGAAATAGATGAGTCAAGCCTGCTCTTCAAGTGCCCTTCTTTGACCCTCACGGTAGCCAGCTTGATACCATGCCGTTAGAAGATGGCGCCAAGGTAATGAGGGTTGTTGACCTACAGGTACATCAGAATTGTTTGCATAATTGGTGAAGAATACAGGCGCACTAGGAGGGATAGCAGGAACTCCACCTTCAGGAGGTTGAGCAACAGTCCTGAAGTTGGGAGGTGGCTTAGCGGCAGAGAGATTTGAAGCCAAACTAGAAGCCCTCATATGCGTAAGATCACGAGTACGTAAATGGGATGCGTTTGAAAGGGAAAAACGAAATATAGAGAATATGTGAAGATATAAAATGTATAAATTGCTAGAAGGTACTTCGGGATGACGAAAAATTTTGCAAAGTAATAGCCGTGTTGGGTCATCAGGGATGCCAACCAGAATAAAAATTTAGTCATGTCAGTAATAGATGAACCATCTCGAACAAAGCGATGTACTAGAATAACACATGTCTTTGGCACTGAACAATACCTCAATCTTTTTGTGATATGAGAAAAGCTCAATCTACTTATGATTGACCTTAAGCTAATATATACATTATTTAGGAGACTTCCAGTTCGTATGAAGGTGCATGAAGAAGAGATTCAAAGGTCGATCTTACCAGAAGACGATGGCCAATTCCCGTTGTACTGCTTTGATATGAAGTTTAGGTTGATGCAGTTCACAAGAAATCTCCTCTCGTTTAGGGTGAAAATGGGCTGAATTTCCGTCCATCATATACTAGGGACATCGTCAGAGCTGGAACTCATTTTCGTAAGTCTTAAGTTAATATCGGATCAAGAAGATTGTCCGGTTCTATCTTATGTCTTATATATACTCAAAACTAAAGAGCAAAAACGAACAAGCATATATATACATATATATATATAATGATTTGGCTAATTATCTTTCATGTTAGTGATGCTACTTTTACTCGAATGTGTGTGTGTGTTAGCGTGTATTCATAATACCGATCATAAACGGGATCAATCAAAAAAGCCCAACGTCAAGCTCGGGTCATCAAGGCTTAATGTCCCAAGAAAAAACCTCGACAGAAACTGGGTGAGCCAGAAAATGTCTCAAGTTGAGATAAGATGTAAGCTTGTAAGAGTTGTGAGGTTGTGAAACCACTTGCTATAACCTCGCAATCTAAGATCATTACGGTTTAGCAATCCAATGAAAGGCATGAATGGGGCTGTGTACTCTCGCACGTGTGGTTTGGTTGACGAGCTTAATCTAACATGCTGGATGAATGTGAATGAAGTTAGAACCATCACTAGGTTGACAAGTGAGTTGTCTCCTTTTCGATAGTGGCTCAACAGCCTCTCTCTCCTTCAATCTTTCAATCAAGTATAACAAATCGAAAACGAATCAAGCATAAACAGTACTTACTCAACCTTCTACCACCGTTCCTCACATTCAACGTATTGCCTAATCCGTTAGTTTCAATAACCTCTTATACCTTTCTTTTAACAGCAATGCAAAATAATAAGCAAACTTGAGCTATCTAATGTCCAGCCACTTCCATGTCTTCGATCACTTCTAACTGTCGGATACAGATGCATTTGCAAAAATTTTTGTATTGCCCTAATCTTTGCCGAATAGGCCGACATATCTCATCAACATAAGGTCGACTACAAAAGCAAGCAATATTGTAGCAGCCGGATCTGGATAAATGATATATATTTCTCTCTAAAAGATGGCATAATCGAAGAAAGTATAAGGGTTTTTAGAACACTGTTTTATTTCCCAATTCCTCGGTAGTTCTTCTTAGAAAAAAAGCATGACGGCAAAATTAAGACCTAGGAAAAGGTCTTGGTCTGTCGGTCTTTGACTAAATAGTCACCGTCAAAAAATTATTCCTCAGTAAAGATATATTATTATCAATCAGGCACAAAGGATAACTATTTTTCAGCCGTTCCAACTCTTTAATCAAATGGTTAATATCCGCCATCTCATAGGACCACTAAGCATTTAATTCAAGATTCCAACCTAGGTTTTATTACTATAGTTGGAAGGAAAATTTAGTAGAGCCAACATGTTGGCTTCCTAAATTACCCTCTTCTCTGATAACCATAACATTTTCGTTTTTTACTTATTAGTATAGATAAAGCCGATTAGTCTTCTTGGCCTAGTGCTAACTTGAGACTGTTACAAGAATAAGTTACAGCTCTGATGATGTCGGTCATTTAAAAAACGAAAGCTGAGTCCTTTTTCGTCCGGAACAAGGGAGGATGCCTGGCGGGCTGCATCAACCTGAACACCACATTAAAGCAAACGGCTGCAGTACAACGGAAATCAGCCGTCATCTTCTGGTGACATCGACCCTTTAATCTCTTCCTCATGTACATTGATGCAAAACGAAAGCCTCAGGAGATTCATCGAAACCCAGCTACTTGTTGTATCGAATAAATATAGTAAGGGGTAGGAGTAGAAGGCAATGCGAATAGGGAGACATCAAAGAGGATTCGAATCGGGGCTTGATATTGCGCGGCTTAAGTGGTTACTAGAAACAAATACGCCAAAAGCTTGCATCTTAATGTGATAATTAACTTAGTACGAGGTAGGAAAAAAGCAAATTTTATGGGGCTATATCGATGAGAATACAGAACATCCAATTCCAGGCATCGGGTACCTAAACATGTCAGTGTGACGCCGGAGCTAGATGCCCATCTTCGGCTTTGTACTTGCGCTTAAGGTATCCACTGTTTAATTATAGGTTATTTCACAATTAGCAAAAAGCTGATTGTGGTAAGCGGATATTATTTCCAAACGATGCCGTTTGAATCTGCTCATTATGAAATGAAGAGGATTGATTTTTGCACGTAAATTCAATTATACATGCTAAAGGGCCGTTTTAGTATAGGATTGACTTTAATTGATACCTCAATTGTGTCTAATTAGATTCCCAAGAAGCATCGAGACAGTGTATGTACAGGCTAAGAAGTAGATGCGTAAACTCAGGCAACGCAGACTTAGGCCGCCTAATTGATAGAAAAGACATCTTGCGAGGAAAGCACACCTCTTGCAACTCACAGCTATGATGTAGAATCTAACATAGCAAAAAAATTATGGGCTTGTCATTAGTGACCTGTCCCGTATGAGGACAACTAAATTTTACTTGGGGTAATCAATGTCGCTTATAACGATAATAATATTTTTTCGTATGTAAGTAGACCTTCAAGACGTAGTTTATTGATATAGCTCCATCGACAATCCCACCAAAGAATGCGATATTAGAAAAGGCCTGGCCTTCCTTAAAATGCAGATCTGCCCTGTGACCCAAGGGCACTCGTGGCAATGTGGCCAACGTGTCAAGCTCACATTCTGAACTGTCACGGTTGGACTCCCGCTGGGGGTGTTGATAAGAGCTATACGAGATCGAAACTGCAGTCCACTCTGGATGAGAACAACTTTTAGGAAAGCAAAACTATGTAAAATTCAGTGGAAACGTAGGCTCTACTCATATCATTGTGGGAAAATTCTACTACATCTGATAATAATAAAGTATTTGTAGGAAAATGTGCCGGAGGATAATGATTGCCGTTTTAGACTGATATCAGAAGCCAGGTCTAATTCTAAAATTACATGGCTGATCTTCAGCATTAAGGCTAAATCTAAAACTCTTAGTAGCCACGTTTTATACTCATGTAAGCCTCCTACTTTCTTCCAACCAGAATTATACAATTTAGGTCTAGTCGTCGAGGGGTCTCCTGCATACCTCCATATGTCCGGTAAGCATTGAACGCTCAAGTTCAGCACAATCGAGAGTACATATAGTTACAACTAGGCGCCGTATCTTCATCAATTTTCTTTCTTATTTGGGACTTTGTGAACTAGAAAGTACTCTTGAAAGAACTAACTACCCCAGCTTCCAGCAAAGAAATGAATAGCGATTTTGCACGGTTATCTCTAGCGAACTGAAATGGTCGTTAATATAGAGGATAACAAAAAAGTATATATTCTACGGCACACCGGACACTTGGATAGTCCGTTTTAAGAGTGAATTGACCTAGAAAAGTACTTAAAATAATTTATGCAAACACTAGTGGTACCCTATAATTGATCAAACTGCTGATATGTCTATGTCATAGATGATTGGGTGAAGGCGCCACCTCAGGGCCTCTAAGTTTTTATCTTCCTGATTCTGGTCAGAGGTTACAAGTTTGTAGCTTTCATATAGAAGGAAATTTTGAAGTGGTTAGTGCCAAAATCCTCGTGCTCACACGCAATAGTACTAGGGCCATTGACAAGCCCAAAGATACATTGCTATTTTGCATGATTAGGCAGGGCGAACTCTAAATCCACTATAAGTCTCCATCTCGATCCTCTCTCTTGCACTTGTGACACAAGCTGTGCATATTTCCCCTCACTCACAGAGTTATATGCCAATACCCATTACATTTAAGGGATTACCATTATCTTGTATCACTTGTTCTTGGACATCCTAACTTCGATTTCTATTCAGTATGGAATTCAAGCATATGGCTTTTGGAGCCGGTACTCTTCTGCTTACTCGTACACGGACAGAGCTGACTATCTGAGACAGAATAGGATACCCTCTCCGACGAAGAGTATAGAAGATTAAGAGTCAGCCATTTGTTGTCTTCATTCCCCATTGTAGTACCAATACGTCATCGGCTCCCTTGATTCGCCTCTTTTATTCAGGATGTTTGCCGTACTAACTGCAATCTTCGAAGAAAATGTGATCTCCATC